GTTTTGTTTTTTTTTTAAGGGGGGGGTCCCCAAAAAAGGGGACTTTTTTTTTTTTTTTGGGGTGGGGGGGGTTCCCATTAGGGAAAGTACAGGCCCTTTTTGGAATTTCCAAAAGGAAAAATAAACTTTTTTTTTACCAATTTAATAGGGGGCCCTTTTTTTCCGGGGGGCAAAAAAGGGTGAAAGGGATTTTTGGGGGGGCCCAGTTCAGGTCCCCCCCTTTTTAGACCCCCCCCAAAAAAGGGGAGTCCCCCCCCCCCCCCCCCCCCCTAAGTGACGGGGCCAGCTACAGTTGAGTACCCACCGTCATCCACCCCCACCCCCACCCCCACCCCTTTCCGCCGGCCCCCTCTTCTATTAGGATGATGACATGGAGACCGACGACAACGAGGCTGGCTCCAAGGAGGGTAAAGGTACCGGCGGCGGCGATGGAGACAAGGGCAAGGCGGCCGCGGCAGAAGAGAGCAAGGACGAGAGCAACCAAGACGGGACGAACGATGCATCCTCTTCGTCCTCGCCCGGCAAACAGCAGCAGAAGGTCAAGGCCGAGATGCAGAACGGCGGCGGCAAGGCGAGGGAGGAGGGGGCCCGACAAGCGGCTGTGGTGAGGAGGAGGGGGGGGGGGGGGTGTACTCATAGTCGTGCATGCCGTAGTCGTTTGACCATTGACCTCGCATCCCTACAAAGCCGGGACGGAGCACGCCGGGTTCTCACCGGACCAGGCTCTCACATCACCAAGCGCGAAGCGCCGTGAGGTATTTGGCGAGTCGCATGAAGGGTGAGCTGCATCCTGCTAAGGGTGTTCGGCATCTTGTGCTTACTTCCTCGCGTACGGATGACAGCTACGTATGACTTAATTTATTTTCTGGTGCTTTCACTTCCAGAGACAGTTGTAAGCACTGTGTAACTGCCTCGAGGAAGCTTGACCATTTTAACACAACGTGGTGCGATCATCCCCCGTTGCGCGGAGTGAGGTTTTTCGACCCCGCACAACATGATTTACTCGACCACCATTATGGTTACCGCAAAAAAAAAAAAACGAGGTAAAAAAAAAAAAACGGTAACCTGGTTGCCGAGTTCACGAAGTGAATTGGCTTGTTTTACAACGTCGTTGCCAAGCGACGAAAACCCAATCCCGATGGCAAACACCGAGTGGGGGGGGGCGGGGGGTACCCATAGCCGTGCGATGCCGTAATCCATCCCTACGAAGCCGGGACGGAGCACGCCCGGTTTTTTCGGGACCAGGCTGTTGCATCACCAAGAGCGAAGCGCCCTTTATGTTTTGCATGCCTTGGTGGTTAGGCCATTGACCACGTGTCCTAGAGAGAGGGGAGGGCGTGGTTGATGTGTGTTGCTCATGACGTTGGTTATCACGATTTTTGATGATTTTGTCTTGAATTTTTTCTGGCGTAGTTGCGGTGGTTTATGCTTGTTGCCCATGACGTTGGTTATCATGCTGATTATTTTCCCGATTTGTTTGGCCGGGTTGCGATGATTGTTGCCCCATGACGTTGGTTATCATGGCGGTTGGTGATTTTGTCGCGTTGTTTTTGCTGGCCCGGTTGGCTGCTGCGCCGGTCAGCGTTATGCCGAGCCGTTGCAGTCTCTACCTCTTGCTTGGCCTGTTACTGCTTCGCTTGTTGCTCGTGACGTTGGTTATCATAACTGTTGGTGTGTTGTGTCATGAGCCATTTTACCTGGCCTGGTTGCTGCTGAGCTACTGCTGTCCCTACGGTCTGTTTGGTCGGTTGCTGCTGCTTCTCTGGTTTCCCGATGCAGGACAAGATGGTGGCCGACCACGACGCTCAAGTAAAGGCAGCCAAGCAGGCCAAGGCCGAGAGGTACTGTGGGCCGCCCTCCTCTTCCCGAGTCTGTGTACGCTTGGTAACCGTTCGGCTTGACACCACCGCCGTACTATAACGACGAGCTTCGACGACCCCTCTGTTTCCCCACGTTGTTTCCCTGTAGCCTTCGCGGGGTTTGTTGTATTCGGGAAACATGTTGGATAAAGCATACAATGGGAGAAGTTGGGTTAGGGTTAGGGTTAGGGAATACGGTCTGCGTACCCCCTCCCTGTTCTATTTCCTGATAAACTTACTAATCGCGCGAAGGCGGTCCTTTTTTCCGGTGGCCTCGTGGCCATGCCCGGTTGTTCTTTTTTTTTTTTTGTGACTGCTGGACGCCCCCTTTGGCTCGTGGGTGCTGCGTATTGTCCCGGGTTTGATTTTGTTGCCAGTCAATCATTCCTTCGCGTCGCCTGTTCGGTTTGTGTGTGTGTCTATGTATCGTTGTTGGCATCGGCCGCGCTCACCGGCTGTGCGTGTGTCTTTATTGTTAGCATTCCTGTCTGTGTGTGTGTGTTTCGTTGTTATTAGCGTCGACCGCTTTTAACCGGGTATCTCTGTGTTCGTCTTCATTGTCACCATCGACGGCGCTTACCGGCTGTCCCTGTGTGTGTGTCTTGATTTGCATCGACCGCGCTAACCGGATGCTCTCTCTCTGAGGGTACGTGTGCTGCCCCCCCCCCCCCGAAAACAGGGAAAGGATGGAGTCCAGCGCGCCCCACTTCATGCAGACACACGTGGCGCTGTCCTACCCCCCCTCGAGAGTGCGGAGGGACATGCACCAGCTCCTGCTCCACGCCGTGCGGCACTCTAGCAACACCCCCTCTGACAAGAACAAGATGATCAAGTGTGTAGTCGGTTTAGTCGTGCGTACCGACCTAGATCCGTGGCGTGTGTGTGTGTGTGTGTGTGTGTGTTTATTCGCATCGACCACGCTAACGGACCCGTGGTGTGTTTTGTGTCTTTTTTATTAGCATCGACCGCGCTAACCGGCTGACCAATGAAAATGCGTCAGTCTCAGTGCGGTTGAAAACACAAAACGCTTCTAAATGCCATTATCTGGGACCCATGACGGGGCAGCATGGTGTGTGTGTGTTCGTCCCATCTATTCTGGCGCCGGTTTTACGGGCCTTTAGGCGTATCGCCTGACGTATCTACCAGCCAAGGTCACACAAGAGGAAGGTCATACAGGAGCTTCTTCTTTTTTTTTTATTGCCCCACCTTTCCCCCTGAGATCCCTGGTGGTTGCTTGATATTGTTGCGATAGATGGTCGCGGTGAGGTGGTAGAAGAGGTTGTTGCCGGGTGGTGTTGCGATCGATCTGGTGTTGGTGGCGGTGCTTGATAGTGTTGCGGTAGATGTTGTGGTGATAGCAAAACCCTAAAGGTGGCTTGGTAAGTGTCGGCAATATTGGTGTTTGGTGATGTGGTTGCTTCTTTTGTCAAGCCTAAATATCCCTTTGCTTTTCTCCTTTTTGCCTCGCCTGCAATTTTCCTGCGGGACCTACGTTAGAATAGTCAATGCCAGTCATTTGTGATGGTACTACTGTAGAACCCACCAGTTGTTACCCGAAATAGTCTGATGTATTTTTTATTCAATGATCGCATCACTGTGCACACCTACGGGTGATATATTGAACCATACGAGTACGGTACATCGGACCGTTGTCCTACAGGATGTTGTAGGAAATGTTGCCATAGATCGGATTAACCGTATGCTGTTTTGTTCTCGTCCAGGGCGTTGCCGTCGCTTCGCGCGTGGATGGGCGGGTCGTTGTCATGGGAGGACATGACGGCCGGCCACAACGTCTCCAAGGTGTACAGCGGCGCCGGCGTGAGGGGGGTCGGCACGCCGGGTAGCGGGGTGGGGGACTTGAAGGCGGGCTGGATGGTGAGTCATCCGCCCCTAGCTGTTCGGCGGCGGTGGTGGTGGTGGTGGTGGTGGTGCCAGGTTTTGTCCGTAGAACAGCCACGCTGCAATGTTTTCTGTGTGCGTGTGTGTGTTTTGTGAATTAGCATCGAGCGAGCTACCGGCTGCTCAATGAAATGACGTGTGTGTGTGTGTGTGTGTGTGTGTGTTGTTTTTTTTTCTTGTTAACATCGACCGCGCTAACCGGCTGACCAATGAAAAGACGTCAGTCTTAGCGCGGTTGAACATACAAAACACTTAAATGCCAATATCTGGGACCCCGTGAGGGGGCTGCATTGGGGAGATTAATGTATTCTCCGGATCAAAGACGTAAACGGTAGCAACAGAAGAAAACTGCACACGTTTGCGAAGGCTGCTACCTTGTACTCTAGTTCGTTTTGGAGTGCCTTGTGTGTGTGTTTTTTTTGCGTACCCGTGTACTGTAAGGCTTGCTGCCGCCGCTTGACATTACGGTTGTAGCATTATGGACACGCCTCTCTCGTATGGGTACCATCTGTGTACCTCCCCCCTCCATGCGACTCGCCGAATACCTCACGGCCCTTCGCGCTTGGTGATGTGAGAGCCTGGTCCGGTTAGAACCCGACGTTCTCCGCCCCGGCTTTGTAGGGATGCGAGGTCAATGGTCTAAACGACTACGGTATGCACGACTAGTCGTACCTCCCCCCCCCCCCCCCTCCCCTGAACCACGGCTGTGTTGGGTGTTTCGCCAACCAAGACTCTGAGAATGTACGATGCAAAAACCCCTTTTGTCCTCAGGTGTTGCTGGGGAGAGGGGAAGCCCGAGTAACGGCCGTCAAGAAGGGTCCGGCGCCGGCAGATGCACCGCCTGCTGTGCCCGGTGGAAACCCGGCGGACGTGGTGGTGGAGGTGGAGGCGACGATGGTATCGGGCGGGGCTAGCGTTACCGCGAAAGCGGGAGAGATCCTTCAGGTGTGTAGGAAGGGAGAGGGCAGGGAGCGGGGCGAGAGAGATGGGGAGAGACAGAGGGAGGGGGGGAGACAGACAGACAGAGAGAGAGAGAGAGAGAGAGAGAGAGAGAGAGAGAGAGACTGAGAGAAAACAGAGACAGGGAGATCGAGAGGAAGAGAGCAACCTCTAACACCCTACCACAATGAAGTGGGCTCACATGGAGCGCGTGTGTTACCCGACGAAGACGCGACAAGGCTCCTCCGGCGGTTGGGTCACCTCTGTCCTTACCCGTCGACCCAACTCCTTCAAATATCATATTCCACCTTACGTTTGTCGTTGATTGCCTTTGTCTTAACTTGACCTTGCTCCCACCTCACCCCCAAAACATGTCACCCTTAGATAATGGGTTTTGTTGCCTTTTTCTTATCTTACTTATCTCACCGCCTCCTCGAACCTGTTTAAGGTCCGACATGCCACCATTATATTTTGTCTTTTGTTGCCTTTTTATTACCTTTCTCACCGCCTCCTCGAACCTCTTTAAGGTCCGACACGCCACCCTTATATTTTGTCTTTTGTTGCCTTTTTCAGACTTATCTGACCGCCTCCTCGAACCCTTCTAAGGTCCGACATGCCACCCTTATGTTTTGTCTTTTGTTGTCTTTTTCTCACCCATCTCACCGCCTCCTCGAACCTCTTTAAGGTCCGACCGGAAGGGGTGGACGTGATGCCGCCGTCCCACAGCTTTTCTATGCCCTATCATCTATGATTACCCTTGTCTTATCTTTGAGCTTGCCGTAATGTACACCTATTTGAGGTCCGGCCGGAAGGGGTGGACGTCATGCCGCCGCCCCAAACCTTCCCATCATTACCCTTGTCTTAACTTGAGCTTGCCGTAATTTAAACCTGTTTTAGGTCCGGCCGGAAGGGGTGGACGTCATGCCGCCGTCCCAAATCTTCCTAATCATTACCCTTATCTTAACTTGAGCTTGCCGTAATTTAAACCTGTTTTAGGTCCGGCCGGAAGGGGTGGACGTCATGCCGCCGTCCCAAGTCTTCCTAATCATTACCCTTATCTTAACTTGAGCTTGCCGTAATTTAAACCTGTTTTAGGTCCGGCCGGAAGGGGTGGACGTGATGCCGCCGTCGCCGCTCACCGAGGACTCTGACAGCCCCCGGTCGACCACCGGGAAGGACGCGGCGGGGTCCTGGAGCGGCGGTGGAGGGTCCAGGGGAGCAGGGGCGGGGCCGGTGCTGCCGGAGAGCGAGCGAGTGCTGCTGTGCACGCAGGTACGCGTCTATTGGTGTGTAACGGTTTGGGTCTTCTTGTCGACCGCACGATACGTGTTCCGATGGAGCATCGAGGTTGCCGGGGCCTCTCTTTGTGTGTGTGTGTTTCTTTCTTTGATCAGGATCGACCGCGCTAACCAGCTGGCCATTGAAAAGACGCCGGTCTTATTTGCGGGGTAATACACGCGAACCACCCTTCTATTCGTAGAGTTCGCCAACCGGGGGGGGCGGGAGTTGGATGGCAGTGTCGTGCGTCTGATTTTCATGGGAGAAGAATCGATACCACCTGAGCAGCATTGCCGCTACATCATCTGTTTCTCCCATGCTAGCATCATTTACGCTGCTGGGCATCATGAAGGTGTGTGTGTGACGTCGGTAGGGAGGTCAGGGGTGGGAGAGTGGGGCAGAGAGATGGACAGCGAGTGAGAAGAGAGATTGACGAACGAAGGACGGAGCAAAGGGCAGCGAGAGCAGGAACGTGTGCCGCTCAGGAAGAAAGGGGTGTCATCGTCCTGGGACTGGCCTTCGCGCGATTAATATTACGTTTTATTTGGAAATAGAGCAGCGAGGGGGGACGCAGACCGTATTCCCCAGCCCTAACCCTAACCCAACTTCTCCGATTGTATGCTTTGTGTGTGTTGTGTGTGTGTTTTCGTCCTATTTATTATGGCGACAGCAGTCCCCCCATTTTTCGTGGTGAGACGTGTACTACACTCTTCGGTGTGTGTACAGTGCTACAGTGCATTTTTTCGTACAACTACAACCATCCAGGGTCACACAGGAGGGGGTAAACACCAGGTTTTTTTTGCTTTATGCATTATGTTTATGCAATGTGTTTACATCATACGAAGAAAAACCCTGCAAAGGCTACTGTCTTCTTGGTACCGGGGGCCCATTGGATGTTTTTTTTTTTGGGGGGGGGGTAGTCAGAGTGCCAAGATGACAGGAGACAGCGACTGACATCCCGGGATGTCCTTGTATGCTCCATGCGTGCATGTGTGTGTGTGTGTGCTGCCGTGTGCACGATGCAGGAGCTGTACGTGCTGATGAGGATTCACCACGTGCTGTGCGACCGGTTGGGCAAGGCTGTCAAGCTGGCGGAGGACGCCAAGGCCCTCAAGGCCGGCCAGGTACAGTACGCGCGAAGAACGTGTTTTTTATTTATCTCCCTCTCTTGTCTGTCTGTCTGTCTCTCGCTCTCTCTCTCTGTGTGTCTCTCTCTCTCTCTCTCTCTCTCTCTCTCTCTCTCTCTCTCGCGCGCGCTCCTGTCTGTCTCTCTCATGCCCTCTTTGTGTTTCTGTCTGTCTGTTTGTCTGTCTCTCTTGTTGTTGTTGTTGTTCCTTCTCCTTCACCTTGGACTGGGTCTCCATCGAGGCGTTTCATTTGAGTCTAACACGTGCCCTTCCACCTTGTTGATTTACATGTGAGTTTTCTCATCCACGAAGTACAACGTCTATGATGCATACATACACACCTGACCATCGCAGCCCACTCCAAACTTGAACAAACAAATGTTGAACGACAATTTTATTCATTCCATTTCATGGCAAACCAAGTGTCCTCTTTCGTGCCGTGTTTTTACGCCATGGGGGTGTGCAGAAGGACCACCCGCAAAACCCCATCATCCGCGAGAGCTGCGAGACAGACGAAGAAAAGGTGATGCGATCTCTGGGTCTGGGGGTGGGGGGCTCGCCCCCCGCTTCCAGCGGCGCCCCCCCCCCGTCCTCCCACGGGAAGGGAGGGGGGCTGAGGGGTTACAGCGGTTTCCTGGCCCTGCTGTACGCCTTCACAGATCAGAGCAACAGCGAGGTGAGCAGGGCGGGGGGGGGTGTCGCGCACAGGCCGGGAAGGAGGGGGCGGTGGTGCCCTCCCGGCCTTGGCTCTCACCCTTCTAG